ACAATTGTAACTATTGTTTTAATTTCAACATTCATGTTTTCTTTGTTGTAGTTTGTGTATTTGCTGTTTGGAGAGGCTGCTCCTCGCGCCTCTAAATCTTCTTGTATCTATTCATTATTTTAATGGAATTGATGTTATTTATCAAAAAAAAAAGGAAAGAAAATTTTGGGGCTAGCTAACAGATCTTGCCTATGAAAGATTTCTTCATTTATTTGTAATGAAATTCTTTTTGATCCAATATTGGCCCAGAAAAAAGAAATAAAGGGAGGGAGTGGCTACTCCTCCAATAAAAAAAATCAACCAATATGCAAGAACCAAATGAAGTTCTCCATCTAGGTAAGATGACTAAAAACATCACATAAGCTAAAAGCATTTACATTGACCTACATATCACAAGAACCGTCTAATTCAAAGGAATTCTAAGTTATAACCATGCAGTGAAAGCAAACACCATATTTATTTTGTAAATAAACAATTTAAACATGAACCTTGGGTCCAGTAACTAAGGCCTCAGCTCAAGCGAACAGTATCAAAGTTTCAAGACCAATCCCAGTCCAAGGGTTGATAATATTAGCCAAACCAAACCCAAATTTAGCATTTGCTTGGATCAGTTAAGTTTGGGTAAAGCTTGTCCAAGTTGCATCCCTATGTACAACCAAAATTTATCATCAAATAGTGTGGGTAGATACTTAATAGATGTACACATCATGGAGTTTAAATTTTCTTAAGAAGAAAAGGTAGTACAGAACAAACAGCAAAGCATTGTAGGTAAGATTATTGGGGTAATCACATAGAAGGATCAAATATTTGGATCTTTTAAGGTTAACTAATGCTCCAGATAGAAACTTGCATCCCATCAAACTGAGTCAAATCAAGTGAATGTGACTCACTTTTTAACAAGTGACTGATTGTTTGTATTTCGTAATTGGATATACAAAACTTCCAGCTAATTTAGCTACTAGTGAGTTGTAATTTGTTTCTATGATTTAACAAAATGTTTTTCAACACTTCAGCAAACATTGAGTTTTAGGAAAGCCAATCTCCATTCGTAAACCTAAATGCAATTACTTAGTTCTCTTAAATTTATACACTAATCATCACATAGAGCCATAGAGGACGAAATAAGATTGGACCTCTTAGTTGTAACATAGTATACAAGCTACTTGGAATATGTGCATTTGTTGTTGTCTAGGTTTAAGAATGAAAAAGAAAATCATTGATATTCAACCAAATTTCAAGCCAAATTAAACTCAGAATCATAAACAAGTATAGTATATTTCTAACCGAAAAGTATAAACTTTGAAGTATATCAAGTAAACCTCTTCGAACATTTAACAGTGGTTAAATCAAATATTAAAACAACTAAGTTTCTCCTTTTCTGCACAACTCAATCAATGCACTTATGGCTCCGTTTGGAAGAAGTACAAATACAAATATGTACAGTGCAAATACATACAAAATAATACAAAATGTAAGGTTTTGCACTGTGCATATTTGTATTTATACTCCTTCCAAACTGAGCCTATAGTTCAACAATTGGGGAAAAGGAAGAAATATATTTATTCTTCTGTATTTACACATTTGAAGTGATCTTTCATAAACTTCCTGAGGAATCTTCAATTTCCTTTTCCCCTTTTTCAGGTATTTCTTTTTATTACCAAAGAGTCCCACAACAATGCCAAAGCTTAAGATACAAAGTAATATATACAGGCATGACAAATAACAATTAGCAAACGTTGCACAATGCAAATTCAATTTATGATTCTCTACCCAAAACAACAGTGCCATACTTCTAACTTCCAAGTATTCGTCATAGGCCAATTGTAACAAACATTCATCATCGACCAATTCGTATCTTAGTTCTTAGTTTTCATTATCGACGAATTATGCACAAAGGGAAAATAGCATAATCCAGTATATTCAGTCAGAATTCCTGAAGTAACACAACCACTGGGCAACGGTTTAAAAAGACAAGAAACAGATGGTCAATAAGACTTAATCAATAAAAAGCATTAGTACTGATGAATTATCAGTTGAACGCAACTCAAAAAAAAAAAGGAAAATATAAATAACAATGAATGAAAGAACTAAAAGAAAAATTGAAAAATAGTAAATCGACTAATTTCTCTAGAAACTTAATCAATTAATCAGTTCAAAAGAATAGGGTTAAAAAGAAATTAACTTTTATACCCCCCCCCCACACACACACACAAAGAAAAAGGAAAAAGTTGTTATAAGATACATACACTTCCGTGCTACCAAGCACGTAATGGAAACATTTACTCGATTTCAACACAGATTAGGGCACTAGAGTAAGACAATAAAAGTGATTCTCCTTGATGAATAGAAAAAGAAAATAACAAACAATAAGGGGACGAAGTGTTAAGAGAAGAACGATGGTCATACCTGAGACGAAGAGGTTCGGCGATGGTTCGGCAGGAGGAGGAGCCGTGGTCGCAGAAGTGCTCGGCGGAGGAGGTAAAGGGAAGGAAGAGAATAGCCTTCTCAGGCCGCGAGGTGCCGCCGCCGTCGCTGCTGCTCTCATCGCCATGCCTCTCTTTCTCTTTTCTCCTAACACCGGACAGTGAAGGAGAGACTCGTCGGGTTTATGGGTTAAACTTGTGAATGCATATGCTGAGATTAAATTACGCGAATACCCCTCTTCCATGTCGAATAAAAAATGAAAAGGATAAATTTCTTAAACTACCCTTATCGTTTAACTGTTTAAAAATTGACTAACGCCATAGTCAATTAATTGAATAAATCGAAATTTTAAAAGCTGAATTAAAAAAATAAAAACTCAATGAAACCGAAATTTAGAAAAACCAAAATAACTGAAATTGAAATTTTTGGTTTGGTTCGATTATTTTGGTTAAAATTGAATTTTAATAATATATACTCTATTATATATATTATAATATATATTAAATATTATATATTATAAAATATATATTATGAAATCAAATCTTAATATATTATATATTAATATATAAATATATAATATATTATATATTATATGTTACATATTATATATTATATATTATATATAATAATAAAAATTTCGGTTAATTCAGCTAATCAAAATTTTAATTTCAAAAACTAAAATAGCCAAAAACCGAACCGATTTAACAAAAAATCGTAAAAGCTGAACCGAAAAAACTGACACCGAAATTTTTGGTTCGGTTAATTGGTTTTAACCGAATAATGCTCACCCCTAATTACATGTGATATCATGTGACTAATATATTTATCTAAAATCCCGAAAATACCCTTCCCACTCCATTCCTAAAAAACCCTTTGACCTCTACAACTGCAAGTGCTGCAAGGGAGGTGGCTCAAACATCGACAACAAACATCCTTGCTCTTCTTTTCCTTTCATGCCACCTCTTCTTTGCCTTTCATGCTTGGCTGCCTTCCCCCTTGTCCACCATCTCCACCATAATGTCTTCGAAAGGATCCATCGCTTTGTAGGTTGGACAGCTTTCGGTCTCCTCTGGACCTTTGTCATCCTCACCTTCTCCTATGAACCATAATCTAAAATCTACAACCTGCACGGCTCTAAATTGGTAAACAAGCAAGAATTCTGATTCACACTAGCCATTATGCTTCTAATTATCGTTCCATGGGTTACTATGAGATGAGTTCCGGTCAAGGTCTCGGCTCCTTCTGGCCATGCCTTAATTATCAAGTTCCAAGGTGGAATTTACGAGTGACTAAAACCCGCTCCTTTTATAGAAGCCGATTAATGTGAAGGCTATAGTCTGATCCCAAACTAGTTGCTTGATGCAGAACTCGTAGGATGGGTGTGCTTTAGAACAAGCGCCTAAAGGGGTCTCTGTTTGAGGAGATGGATGAATGGGTTGTGGTGTCAACAGAAAACACTGATGGAGATGGTGCCGACGAAGGTGATGATGATACCAAAGAGCCAGTCCATAAGCTTCTAGAACCTTTCTCCAAAGATCAACTTGTCGATCTCCTCTAGGAAGTTGTTGGTAAGCATTCTACGCATTCGCAAGGTCTTTGATGTGGACCAATGTAATGGGATTTGGGAGAAGAGTGACAGAGAAGAAAAGGGGATGTCTCGCTGGCATCATGGTGATGATCTAATTGTGCATGCCTTGAGAAGAAAAGGGGAGTGGCGATTCTTGAAAAGAGTGCTAGAGAAGAGCAGCAGTTGCAATGGTTCCAAAGAGAACGAGAGGGGTGCCGACCGTTGTAGTACCGGAGAAGAGTGGCAGTTCTAGTGGTTCTGAGAGATCTACAGTTCTGGCCATAATTGGAGGAGTCTTACTGTTGTTCGATCTACAGTTCCGGCGGTTTCAAATCGATCTCCTCTGAAGTTGCTGGCAAGCATTTTGCGCATTCGCAAGGTCTTTGATGTGGACCAATGTAATGGGATTCGAGAGAAGAGCGCCGGAGAAGAAAAGGGGATGTCTCACTAGCGTCATGGTGATGATTTGAGTGTGCATGCCTTGAGAAGAAAAGGGGAGTGACGATTCCTGAGAAGAGTGTGAGAAAAGAGCAGAGGTTGCAGCGGTTCCAAAGAAAACGAGAGGGGCGCCGACCTTTGCAGTTCCAAAGAAGAGCGGTGGTTTTGGCGGTTCTGAGAGATCTATAGTTGTGAGCTCCGAGAAGCTTATGACGGGCTCAAAGAGTTGGAGTCACCACCCATTTTTTAGTGGAAATGGGCCCTCACTTTCAGGTTTGAAAAGTCGATTTAGGTCTTTGATAGTGACTCTATCCTCCTTGGGAAAGGCACACAACCAAGAGATTTCGAGTTCTAAGGATTAGGAGAGGGAAAGTGTTAGGCACCCTTCTCTCCAAGCTGTTGTAGCAGCCCAATATGAGAGTTGTTCAGGCTCATTTTCTTTCAAAGAAAAATAGAAATGGTTGCAAGAATTTCTCAAATCCGGAGGAACATGCTTCCAATTTCTCCTAAGACCAATATTGAGGTGATGTTATTGGGTCTTAGGTACTGATTTCCCTTAGACCCTCGCCTCTCTGCCTCTATTCTCAACCAAGAAGAAATTGCAAACAATGGTTCTCCAATATTTCAAAACCTCAAGCAACCCAGAAAGACTAAAGAAGACTTACCTTTTGTATGTACCTTGACGCGAGTTTTCCAACAGCTAGGGATGAGACAGAACAAAGTTTAGATGGGTACTTGAGCTAAGGAGTGTTTTTGGTTGCAACAACCTTCGCTTGAAGGTGAAGGAGACGAGTTTCGAATTTGATGTTCAGAGCACCTCTAAATTTTGGGTGAACAAAAGGCAATATATGGTCTAGGAGAAAACTCTCTTCCCTCTCTCTTTTTCTCTAGGAGCCTCTCTTGGGTTTCCTTCCTCTCCCTCCCTTCAATCCCTTTTGGGTTTTCCTTCCTCAGTCCCCCCTTGGAGCTTGAATTAGGTCAGTATTTATAGAGAAAGGGAGAGGGGTCAGGTCTGAATTTGTTCAGCTATAGTGACTGGGCTTCAATAGAGGTTTTTCATAAAAATAGGTAAAGATTCTTCAAATAAATGAATGTCCAATCAAGCTTACCTATTTGGTGAAACGTTTTCTTTGATTTGGGGGTGATTTTCATGGGTTTTGTGCACCCAATGAGAGCTTGGGGCGTGCCAGACGTTGCAATCTCATATTTGGGGCTATCAGTGGCAGAAAATGTAAATTTGATGAACTTTTAAAAGTTATTTTGTCTTTTCTTGGTCTTAAGTAGGGGTTTGTTTCGTATTTTTAGCTTTTTAAGCCTATTAGGCATTGTATCATTGGTCCAGGTGTTTAAATGAGTCAAGAATGAGTCTGACATCAGCCATCACCCTTTTAAGGTTTCACGTTGGGTCAGATGATGTGGTAATTTAATCTGGTGCGTCGAAATGGTATCTTTCTAGTTTAATGGTCAAACGGATGAATTAGGATGTGAAATTTAGCGTGCTGGGGTCTTTTGGGTCTATGAACTTAGTGGTGATGTTTGATTGGTCAAATGGGCTCGGGATGATGGAGATCTATGGTTGACAAGTTCAGATATATGAGATTTGCTAAAACAAAATCTTTGTTTGATAAAGGGTCAAACGAGGGAATTTTGGGATGAAATTTGGTGGGTTGGAATTTTTGAACGTCTTGAATCTAATGGAAGTGATGGATCTTTGATCAGAGGTGTTGATTGATTGATTTGGTTTGGGTCTATGTTTTAGCTAATTGTTTATTAACTAATGAGAAGGCTTGAAATGGAATCTCACTTTTTTAATGGTCAAATGGAGGAGTTTGGTCGTAAAATTTGATGTGCTAGGGTTTTTTGGGTTTTTGAATACAGTGGTGAGGTCTAATCGGTCAGATAAAGTTGGGATAATAGGTGATAAGCTATAATAGGATCTAAGCTTGATGGGGGGTCAAACGGGTGAATTTTGAGCTACAATTTAGTTGATAGGCATGGATTAAGGGGAGGAGTCAAGTGGATGGTTTTAATGTGAGAAAGATATAGTCGATCTTAGTAATCATTCAGGGCCACCAGAATAAGATCTTGATGTTTTTGTGGTTGGTTGTCGTAGATTCGTGGTGGGATTTGCTAGTTGATTGTTTCCTAATGATCTTGAGGTGATGGATATGTTGGATTTGATTTTGAGGAGTTGGGAGTTTGATTATCGCAAAGATCGGGGCTGTTAAAAAGGAAGTTGGCATGATGAACAATAAATCTTTATAGTTTAGCCATGAAAAGTGATGTGTAACTAAGTTGTAGTTTTCCAAGTCTATGGATAATGTCTAATCAAGGTTCTTATTTGTCTTGTGGATTGCATCAAAAGGGGGTATTTCGGGTTTTAGAGAGTGTCAAGTCAATCTAGTTGTGTTTCTAAGTTTGCGGGGTCTAAAAGGGAGTACAAAGAGGTAAGTGAAGGGACTGAACAAAAATTGGGTGCTAACAACAGTTCTGGCTGTAATTGGAGGAGTCTTACTGTTGTCTAATTTACAGTTATGATGGTTCTAGCAGTTCCAACGAAGAGAATGAGAGAGAGAGGGAGAGATCTGTGTAATCTATAGTGGAGGGTAAAATAGTCATTTTCATATCTCCGTTGATGCATGTTAATGACTAGAAAGGATTAGTCATTTGTCAGAAATAGTAGGGGTAGCATTAGTCAATTTCAAACAGTAAGGGTACACTTAGTCAATTAGCTAAACCATAAGGGCAAATTAAGAAATTTACCAAAAAACTATGCTAAAGGCTTTTGACTTTGACCAATTACAATTCTAGTAACTTCGATAGGTTATCAATTTTATGATACCAGTTGATTGGTTACAAGTTTTTCTAGTATGTAGATGGACACATAACACATTTCATGCATTGCCCATTAGACGAGGAATGTACCCTTTCAAGTCACAAGAACGGTTGCAGATGTACATGAGTTAGACCAAGGTTAATTATTAGTTTTGGTTACTTAGCTTAAAGCATCCCTAATTATCTTATAATTATTTATGGGTAAATTAGAAGGACCCGCATATTGAGGTCAGTGATAGAGACCCCTTGTACTTTGATTTTGCGATAAAGAACCCCTGAACTTTGGTCGTTAGACAAGACCCATTTTTGTTAGCATTTTGTCAGTTTTCATCTA